CTTCCTCGATATCGAGGGGGCCTTCAATAATGTCACTCCAGAGGAAATATTAAGGTCTATTCATAATCTGGGGGTTGAAACCAACCTAATAAGGCTTATATATAGCTTACTTCGTCACAGAAATGTCGCGGAAGAATGGGGGAGCGCCTGCACTCAGCGCACAGTCAATAGGGGCACTCCGAAAGGTGGTGTTCTCTCCCCCTGCTCTGGATTGCGATTGTAAATGACCTGTTAGAGGAACTGGAAAATCGCGCTGTCGGGTGCTCGCATATGTAGATAATGTGGGACTTTTGGTAATGGGACGATTTCTAGACCTGGCTTTTTGATCTGGCTCAAGGTTACCTGAACCAGGTGTGATCAACGGCAAGAAATAAATGGTCTTGTTTGACAGGAAGTACAAGATACCCGTTGTGGCCCTCTTCTCGAGTGGGGGTGTTAGTTTGCGGCTCTCAGACAGGGTCAAGTACTTAGGCTTGATCCTGGCATCGGAAAGGCACCCTTAAAACGTTATCCCCAGATAATAAGCAAGTAGGAACGCCTCTGTCCCCCTACGATACACTCTTGGATGGGCCAGTGTTAGCGCACTCTACTGAATACCTAATAAAATAGACAAAAGAAAGCAGTGCTGCTTTTCTAACATAATAAAGGAAAAAACAGGCCATTGTGCAATTGGTATTCATGCGGTAAGACTAGGAATTTCAACTGATCCTTTTGGTATCAGCTGTCAACGGGAAATTGGGGTGGAATCATCTCCGCACTTTCTATTAGACTATCCAACCTTCGGGAGGCTAAGATGGAAGCATTTTGGCTTGCACTTCCTAACTAACACTGAACTCTCAGGCATCGAAATTAGCCGCATTCGAAATTTTGTAATCGGCTCGCGGCATCTCGCCGACTAAATTAAGGGTATCCGCTCAGTTTTTTTCGTGGTATTACAAAGGACAGTCTCTTCATTGTCTAAGTGTGTCCCTTGCCTGGGGTACCCACTTTAACCTAACCTAACGTAACCTGTACTTCTTTGAGCTATGAAATAGTTGGTCACATTAGGCAAGCTAAATAGACTTTTGGCTCTACGGAGACGTGTGGTTAAGTCTTGAGAATGAATTGCATCACAGTGTGTTAAATTTGTAAATGGCTATGGCATTAACTCAGATATTCGGTACAACACACCGATTTAGGTAGATTTAGAACGTAGCAAAATAACTTATCGGAAAATTGTCTCTTATTTTCATGAGCATTTCAACGGCTTTTCCAATAGCCTCGCTCCTTTGCAAAGGGGCATAAACATTGGTTAAAACATAAGGGGTATTTATTCACCAAATTGAGCATGTGGCCTGGCACTCAGGCAACAGTCAGCTTGGTGAATACCTATATAGTTTTGACTGGAACTGCTGGGAGGGATTCCTTTCAAGGAAATTTTTAATAGCAAAGATTGTTTCATGTGGGTCCAGAAGTAGACATGGTAATAAAGAGAGATGCTGCCACCCGCTATCAAAAAACTAATAAATAAATTTATAGTTCAGTTGTTTATAACTTTGTCTTTAGGTTCGCGTATTCTAAGCATACATCAAAAGTTTTGTATCAGAGAACCAATCTAAAATTATTGCGTGACTAGAGACGAATAAAGGCGCGCTAGTGTTTCGACGGCGGAAAAAGACGCATAAAAAAAATTTACGAAAAAAGGCGCTTAATAACAACTTCGGCGAAGAAAGACGCGTAATCATAGATTTGTACTTGGCCAAGGACTTCCACTTCAGCATTATTCGCCAAAAACTCTTTACAAAACAAACAAAAAAAAACCGTCCATCGTCCGATTGCAAAACCGCCTATCTTACCGTCACTCAAATTTTAAAGGAGAGCGTAAAAACGATTTATTCTTTGAAGGCATTGCCTTGATGGGCGGTATTTTGTCTAGCTATTGCTTTACAAATCTGTTGTTTTAATAACGATTTAACGACTTTTATGCATAAATCTCGATGCCTGAAATTCAGGGTTACCAAATATCATGTTTGCCACAACGGCGATTTAGGCGATATGTATATCATGTAAGAGAAGATATTTCGCTGCAAAGCAACGATTATAAATTATTAGTTTATCTTACACAATTGCGGAGGAATATTACAGAGTATACTGAAAAGTATATTTTTTTTACATTTTTTATTTGGTTTACTATACAGGTATGTATGTAGATCTATGAATTAAAAAAAACATCAGGGTTTAGTTGAGATATTCGCCTTTGACCACTTTGTTCTGTACATTTGGCAGTACTGCAGAGCTTTTGACTGTCATTCACCTGGGAGTGGTCAGAAGTGATTCGTGTGCTTACGGTTCAAATCGAAGCTCACTACGTCCGGATATTTATATCCATGAATCCTCTGACACTGACGGAGTTAGGTTTTCGATGCATCCTCCTCATAGAATAAACTTGATCAGTAACAAGTTAACTATTCAATCGACGAACAGTTTTATATCAACTATTGTGAACATCTGTTTATGTGTTTTTGTACAACATACCTCTAATGGTTAAAATAATTTTAAGCTATAATAAACAATTTTTCAGTAAGTAAGTTATTGGTTTTGAAATCTTTATTTTTATAGGAGGGCCCCCTGAATTTCGTTCTGCCTGCTCCCTGCTGAGATTTCTCTATTTTGATTCTAGTGAGTGAGTGAATATCTCCTAGAGTTGCTCTACCATGTGTACTTAATTGAGAGAGGAGATTTCTATTTCAGTAAAACTCTACCGATATTTGTCTACCGTGTACACTTAGCTTAAATATAACTTAATAATTTCCATTTGAAAATGTCCAATAAAAACATGCATTTGCATGAGATTCCTAGCCCTATTTATTTTTATGAAATATGACCGGAAAGGAACAATACAGGATACAATAATTTTTAGAAGGTAGTTTCACTTCAAATTTTTTGACATAAACCGTGTCTGTGAAAAACAAGCAATGTGGCCACTGCTACATTATAGAACTTGGGGACTTTCGCATGTTATTTTAGATATACGGTACGGTAGATGACGGTAATATTTCTTGTTTAAAATGTTTTAGATTTATCGCACACCACGGATTTAATCGGCACCGCGGTTAAGTTGGTTCATGTATGTACATATTTAAGCGAGCCCTGCTATTTAAATAGGCGGCCGATAAAGTCTGTAGTACGCGGTGCCTCTTATACATAGCTTTATCCTTACATTCATTGCGTGTGTTGCAATATCCATGGAAGCAGCAATTAATTTTTTCATAATTTTTTTTGAAGAAAATTTTTATCTTCTCAACGTCGGTTTAAAAAGCCGTATCAGTTTCGCGGAGATACCAAATTCAGACATAGTGGCGTATAGACAACTCCTTTTAGTGCTGTCCAAAGTGGCTTCGAGGTCGACAAATAGATGATGAGTGTCAATTTTTTCTCACGGGTCTTTTCTCTACCTGGTCTAGGGTGGATTTACCATATCTAAAGCTACACTGATAAGCTCCAGTCAGTTCGTTGACGGTGGGCTTCGGTCTTTCACACAATATGCTCGATAAGACTTTGTATCCCATGCTAAATAGAAGGCTAATCCCGCGGCAGTTGGCGCGAATGGCGGGGTCGCTTTTTTTCTGGATTAGGAAGAGCCCACTTAAATTTCAGTGGTCGGGAATGCTGGTATCTTATCATATTCTTCATAAGAGTTGATGCATTGCATGCACTTCATCAACTCTTCGCCACTGTACTTGAATAGCTCAGCTGGCAGGCTGTCACCTCCAGCAGCTTTGTTGTTGTTCAGCCGCGTAATTGCTATTACCTCGTCATAACTATGTGGTGGAATATCGACTCCGTCATCATTGACGGGGGCTCCGGTTTATCTTCTCCACAGCTTTCAGTGCTGCTGCGATTCAGTTTGGTAGAAAAGTCTCCCCTCCATAATTTAAGAACTTTCTGGACATCCGTCGTGGAGGCAGCTACGAGCTTGATGGATATTTTTTTGCTCGATCCTAGCACTGCATACTACGATGTCTCGTAGTGGTTCCAAAGATCCTTTCCTTGCCCAGCCTGACATTGAAGTCGCCAAGCACGATTTTGATATCACGGTGGGGGCAGTGCTCGTATGTGCTCCCCAAGCGCTCATAGAAGCTATCCTTGGACACTTCGTCCTTCTCTTCCGCCGGGGCGTGAGCGCAAGTCAGCGAGTTACTGAAGAATCTCGCTTTTATGCGAATTGTGGCCAGACGTTCGTCCACCAAGATGAACGACAATACTTGGCGACGGAGGCCCTCTCTCACCACAAATCAAACACCGACTTCGCACTTCTTTACATTGCAGCTATAGTAGATGTCGCAAGGCCCCAGGCATTCCTCACCTTGCCCAGTCCATTGTAATTCTTGGATGGCGGTGACGTCGGCTTTTGTCTTCACGAGGACATCAATCAGCCGGGCAGAGGCATTTTCCCCATTAAGGGCCCGATTGTTCCAGATGCATACCCTCAAATCACAGTCCTTTATACATTTGCCATGGTCCTCATGAAAAAAGAGGCTCTCTTCAGAGACGTGTTTGTATTTTTGATTGGGCAGGGTTTTAGCGTAGCGGGACCCAAACCCAGCGCACGCGAAGTTCTACGCCTTCTCGCTTTAGTTCGCTTCCATACGGGTGGTTGGTCGCTACACAGAGGATATGTAGATATAAAAATCTGACGGGAGATTCTGTAACCAGTTAGCGACAATGTGAAATTCTAATATTAAAAAGTATTAATCAGATTTTAGTCTTAAATAACTGGTCGCAGTTTCTCGATATGTAATAGCGACTGCTACTTTATCAGTCACATTTCGTAGCAGTGACTGCGACTGTTACTGCTATTCTGGAACTGCAATCACGGTGACTTTTTGGAAGATGTCATGGCAGTTACACCTGACTTTTGAGTAACCGTGACAAAGTCACAGGTAGGCAAATATCTGCCACCTCTAATGTGCACAAGATCCTGAACAGCCCTATTGCAGTCTAAGAATTTGTTATGCACTTAATTTATATTTACTTGAGTTATAATTTTTTTTTTAACAAACGCTCCTGGCAATGCCGACAAGAACTTTTTCGTTTCAATTTTCAATGCAACCATGCTAATCGACGACAAGTGCAATAGAAGATAAGAAAAAGGGGTGTAGGAGTTGTGATTTTGAGCAATTTTAGGCATTCTGCCTTTGAATAATAATTTTTTGCTTTTTGTCACTGCATGAGTGATTAGGTTCTTACTTAAATATATTTATTAATACATGTTATCAGTTTCCATGTGCTTCCAAATTAGTGTGTTCGAGACATATTGACCTCGAATGAACCGAAGTTGAGCGACCTCCCAAGAACATCAATGTAGCGGAAAGCAACATAAAAGAACACAATTAAACCAGTGGAAATAATCAGTCGTAGGTACATGCTGGACTATCAATGCACTGTGCATATTAATTGTAAACTTTGGCTTCAAGTCACACAATAGAAGATAGAACTAAGGTCGTACAAATAAGAGCATCTGAAGTGTTTGCATTGGTATATGTATCACGTCCGATATGGGCGCAAATGGTTTCAAAACCGAAGGTATGTATAAACGCGTAAGGTTTTCCATGTTTTATGTTACTGTTTATGATTCTTACTTCCCACCACATTCGTAGATAACAAAGCAGCAGTTACAATTGTGCATCACGTTACTGGAAGCGGCAATGGTACTAGTAGTGGCAGTGTAGCGAATAACACGACTGCGGCCAATATGAGCATTGAAACGTGTCTGGTATGTGGAGATCGCGCATCAGGTACGTTAACATAGATAATGAATATAATATGTGTTATATGTTTTAGAAAAATAGGTTAATACCAATTTCTACTAGGTCGCCACTATGGAGCTATATCATGTGAAGGTTGCAAGGGCTTCTTCAAGCGTTCCATACGCAAGCAGTTGGGTTATCAATGCCGAGGCTCGATGAACTGTGAAGTAACCAAACATCATCGCAATCGCTGTCAATTTTGTCGTCTACAAAAATGTTTAGCCAGCGGAATGCGAAGTGATTGTACATACTTTTCATTTATTTCGACAACACATTTTTATCCTTTAAAGCTTTCTGCTAAATAGTAGTATACACAAATAGGATACGGGACGAGATTTTGTGAATAGGACTTGATCTTAAATCGCTCGTTTCTTTGGTATACTACCAAACTTCAATGTAGCAGCATGGGCTTGTTCGAGTTGCAATCACAACTGCAGTGTTGCGCGAATTATTAAAGTATCACGATCGGTGCGAATTTCTAGCAACGTGTTATCATTTGGGCAGTTGCAACAGTGTTGCAAATTTTCATCAGTGCGGCAGTAATGCCGCTTTTATTCCGCGCCTCGAACAGGCCCTATCTCTAGAATTAAAAACTAATGGTACTGATGTTTAGTAAAGCAAACACAAAATTGAAAAAAGGATTATTCTCCCTGCCTGAATAACGAAGTTTAATTAAAAAATTGCAAGGTTAGGATTATATATTGATAAATATTTTAATTCGGTTTAAAGTTGGGTTGTTGTTGTTGGGTGTTGTGTTGTGTTGACAGCCCTTGGCCAGATATAGATCTGGATCATTCCGATTGCGAAGACCCAACTTTCATCGTAACGAGATTAACCTAAATTTTTGTTGGCTATACCACCATGAAAGCTCATCAATCAATTAAGAATTAGATCAATTTAATTTTATAATTTACCAAAAACTTTGCTGAAAATCAAATTAGCCCTTATCTACAGGATTTCGTGCTTCTATGTAGCTGCAGCGCACAACGTTCTTGGCTCAATCACGCTCATAATCATATTCATTATTCGTCTCTATTGAGATCAACAATAAATAGTATGTTTTATCATTTCTTCAACGTAGCTGTTCAACATGAACGAAAACCGATTGTTGATAAGAAGGAGTTTGCCGGCAGCTCTTCTTCGGGCTCTTCTACTTCAACAGTTAATGCTGCGGCAGCTGCAGCTGCTTTGAATGCCAACAATTCTGCTACCGGTGGAGGAAATATGCTATTTAGTCATAACTTAGCAAACAGCGGTGTACCCGCCAATAACAATGAAGTACCATCGACCTCGAAGCCTTCTTCCATATTTCCATTTAATTTGGCATTGCCTGAAATGAGACAAGGTAAGATTTGTTGCGAAATAAAATATAAAAAAATTTTACGAAAAGTATTTCCTTTTTAGCAATGGCAAACAATGCTGATGTAGCCGTTCCACCTTTACCATTTCACCTTACTTTTGCTGATATGAGACAAAGTACAAAATATATACACAATTTTTTATCGCTGTAGATCAGCCATTATTTATAAATATTTTTGTTTTCTAGTAATACAAAATGCGAAAAACTTTCAACAAGAAAAAGAACTTTCTGCGCAAACTCAACCACCACAGTCGCTCTTCTATTCACCGGATTTGGCAAAGATCGGCGATGAAGATGAAGATGATGACGAATCTTTGGACAATAGCAGCACCACGTGCCTACAAAACCTAACCACAAACGCCAATAATAATAACACCCAAAATTTGAACCTTAACATTGACCCAATGCACAGCCCTGCCACAGCGGTCGCACAAATACAGGTGTCATTGGACAGACGTGTTATTGAAAAAGCATTACAATTGCTGATTCCCATTCAAAATCAATTGGACCGTTTGTCCTTGGCCGCAGGCGGTGCAAGCATAAGTGGCAACACCGATGGATCGCCAATCATCAAAAGCGAAATAGAAGACGAAGACATGGGCGAAGGTTCGTAGTAAAGTTAGTTTAAAAAATTCCATGTAACTTAACCCCATTCTAAAAAGTAATATTACCTTTCATTCGGCTCCCGCATATTCATGGATCGGCTCTTTTCGTATTGTATATGCATTGTATATATGTTTTCGCCGTCTACAAATTTAACTAGATATTTCTAAACCTTCCAGACAGCGGCGCCGAGGATGTATACGATTTGGCTGAAGCGATACTTGGAGTTGGGAATATAAAGAATTTCGTTATAAACGAGTCTGTCTTCGAGAATGAAGTGTTGTCGGACGCTCAAGCCACTTTTAACCTTCAAGCTCCCACTTTGGTGTCAGCTTATCTCAATCTTCATTACATTTGTGAAACTGGTTCACGCATAATTTTCCTTAGCATCTTTTGGATGCGTAAAATAATGGCTTTCGATCAACTGGACATACGCTCTCAAATTAAATTGCTGCGAGCCAGCTGGCCCGGCTTGTTGGCAATAGCATTAGCACAAGTACGTAGCCTGTCGGTTAGCACAATTATTACCACGCTGGTGGCAAATGTACGACAACTGGCAGAGATTGAAAAAATCGAACCGCAAAAGATACGAAAGCTGAGTGAGCACATTTCTCGTCTGCATTCGTATATTCAAGATACGCTCGCATTGGATTTGGATGACATGGAATTCGCACTGCTGCGCCTCGCTATTTTCTTTAACCCGCACATGCTACCGAGAAATCGAGAACGCAATGTAAGAGACTTTGTGCGACGCGTACAACTTTATGTACTGTCAAGCTTAAGTAAACATATCGCAAGTCAATTAGGTAATGAAATGCAAGCGGAGGAACGTTTTAGTACGCTGGTTCTCACTCTATTACCATTAGCGGCCTTAGAATCGGATGTTGTGGAAGAATTATTTTTTTCTAGCTTAATTGGACAAGTGCAGATTGACAATATGATACCTTATATTTTAACACTGAGCGCCAACACAAGCCTATAATAAGTCATTCATTGAGCGGCTTTAAGCGCCAAATGGCAAGAATTTTCCACGAAATGAAAGTAAGTTTATGTCGGTTAACACTTTGTCCACGGAAGTAATACCTCTAACTCTAGACTGTGTCACCTTTGCTGTGCTCTCAGAGCAAGCACTCGACTGCATCCACCCGGGGATCACCCACCGCGCTCCTTCAATTCAATATCGTAGTCTCATTGAAATCGCATAACAGCGACTTGGATGGCTAGTACTTAAGCATTCGAAGACCAACTCCACTTGGCTTCGCTTTCTTCCCCAAACTAGGGTAACCGACTTAAATACGTGTTCTGGGAAGCTAAATAAATTACAACAAACCTAGAAGTTTCAAGTCCGCACTTGAGTGTTAGTAAATGCATTGCATTCTGCTAATGCTAACTTTTAAAGTCAATAAAAATTATATTATACATAATTAAGTGACAATAATAACAGACTGAAGTAAATATATGTATAAAAGTTCAATCTAGCACTTTTATGTTTCTAAATATTTTGCTACCAGTTATGAGCAAAGCAGCGAAATGAGCGTGAAATTTCAAATTTCACAAAGGCATTGCAAAAATTTAAGTGCAAATAATAAAGATCAGATCTTGGCAATTACAAGTGAATGTAAATTTTACATTTTAAAGTAGCAGTGAGTTAAGGTCAAGCTACTACATATGTCATAGATTTAGCTAAAATAATTTATACATAAATACATATGTATGCATAATGCGCATTTTTAATTTGCAAATAAAGTCAACTTTTTTACCAAAACTACACTTCGTTTTCGTTAATAATATAGCCGTAAATCTGCATAGTTTTTATTCTTTACAATTGCGCTATAAGTTGTACACGTTTTCGCCATTCGGTTAAAGTCGGTGTGAGGTCCCTCGCTGTTATGGCGGGCAAGCGTTTCAGCGAACTGTGTACTCCAATATCTGCAATTGATATTTCATCGCCACTAAAATATTTTTGTTTATCCAACCGTAGGTTAAGTTCACGCAGCATTGCAGCACGACTCTTGCTCGTTGTGCAACGTAATAGCTGGTAGCAAATGTCAAGTACAGCATCGATTTCATTGCAGTTTGGCGAGTCTTCATAGCGGTAAGCAGGTGGGCCAACACGACCCAAATATCTAACAATATTTACTTCACCGTAGATGGGCACATACATGGTGGGCGAGCTGATCATCTCAGTATGTTCACCTTAAAAAGGAAGATATTTAGTCCTTAAAATGAGTGGTGAGCACTATTAAACACTTAATTACAATTTTTCCAAATCAACGACACATTCACTTTTGGCTTTGATGGATCAACCTTCACTTGTGCTAATTTCTTCTCAAAATCGGCAGCCTCTTTGCCAATATCTGGCATAGTAGAGTGCTTAAATGTTTTCACGTCAATGGTAAAGAGATCTTTCCAGGCATTCTTTAGCGCTAACAAAGCATAAGGTATGAAGTTAGGATGTCCATTAATGACTATATCATGTAGAGGTTCCTGAAAAAATATTGTATGTTTTTTTATTTATGTTGTTTAAGAATGTGCCTCGCAATAATTAAAAACTTGTTCCTACCTCTAATAAGCCCCCATTCTGCAAACTTTGTTGCACAGAGTGCTCCGATCCCTTTTGACAAAGACCCAGAGTGGCCCGTATGCTGGCCATCTGTTGTTTTAATTCCTGTAGTTGCTTTAAAACTTTTTCTTGTCGAGTGGTAACGGATGAGGCATCATTTGATGACTATAAAAAAGCAAGGATTTTGTTATTAATATCAATGAGAATACCTAGTATGATTTATTATGTTAGTACGGGGTATATATTTTGCATTTCTATTATATTTTGTTCTTCACCAAATGCAACCTATCCTCGAGTTATTAAAACATTGGTAAAATTCTGAGCAACTAAGAAATGTCAGATGACAAACAGAATGCCATTAGAAGACGTATGCGTGGGATTAAAATAGACCATGCATTTTTACATTTCTATTGTACATACATACAGATATCAGATACAGTCGGGGGAGCAACTAGTGAATGTTATTCACGTACCTCAAAGTTTTGAACAGTTTTGACTACTTTTCTTTTGCTTTTTTAAGGTTAATTAATTTTTGAATAATGTATGTATTTTTAACCAACAACACCCATATAAATCCATACATACATATGTATATGTCCTTTGTTAGATAAAGGGCTACATGTTCATACATACTTTTAAAGAAAAATAAAAACATTAAACAAACCAAAGATAAAGTCAAAACTGATCAAAATGTTGAAGTGCTATCGTTTTGTCGTGGACTGTACATGTATACATACATACTGTCAAGTTGAAACTGTTGAATGTACATATCGTCGATGTTTTTGCAAAACCGCCCATCGACCAGTTGCAAAACCACCTTAATCGCCGTTGTGACAAAACTGCGATTTGGTAACCCTCTCTAAACTCCAGGCATCGAGATTTATGCATAAAAATCGTTGAATCGTTATTAAAACAACAAACTTGTAAAATAATAGCTAGAGAAAATACCGCCTATCAAGGCAATGCCTTCAAGGAATAAACCGTTTTTCCGCTGTTGTAAAATTTGAGTGCCGTAAGATAAGCGGTTTTGCAATTGGGCGATGGGCGGATTTGCAAAAACATCGACGATATGTATTTGAAAATAAAACTAAAAATAATTTGCACATGCTTCAACTGATAAAGTAGTGAGGTATATGTCTGTTAAGGAAAGTTAATCAGAGACTGTATTCGAAATGCATTAACAACCATAATACAAGAGAGGCATATCGCATTTCTCTAAAAGTGTTTAGATCACACTTTTTCTTTATTCGTCGAGCAACGGATATTTTTTTTATAATTGGAAGGACCTACAGTTTTATGAGGCATCTAGGCGAAGGCGGTTTTAGGAGTTAGTTTGCGGCAGCACTTGTATACATATATAAATAAGTATGTACCACAGCAAGAGGTTTGTTTACGAGTACTAAGGTATTCAGAGGCTTGTTTAAGGATAGAACGTCAATAGTTTAGTTTTTTGGAGCGCCACGTCCGCTGATAATTGAAATTAAAATTTTAAATAAACGAACTTACATTGAAGGCTTTACATTTATGTATCTTAATGGCATCCGCATTTTTTACATGCATTTGGCGGAGTTCGTATTCATGTTCTTTACACAATTATTGAGTTAGTTTCTAAAAATGATGTTTAAACAGAAACACAGCATATACATACTTAAAATAAAAATTAAATTATACATAAATTTTGAAAATTAACCTTGAGTAAAGTCTGAATTTGTGCACTTAAACTGTCCAAATCAAGCACGCACCCATTTTTCTTCGGCCCACAGGAGTTGATAGCGGACGTGGCGATAGAATAATTGCCATTACAAAAACCCTTTAACACAATGCACAATTTTTAATTTATTCTCAAATAAACTAAAAAAATCGTTCAATTAAAACATCTGCACTTACGCTGCTTGCGTTAGCTTTTGCAGGAGTGGCTGCCAACGAAGCGTTGAGCACTTTCATCGGATACATGCAAGCTGGTAATTTTATATCATGTTCCGGCAAAAGTGTTTTTAATTCGTACATATTTGTTTCAACTTTTTTATAACTGATTTTTAAGAATTCGTAGTTTTTCGGTGGCGATTTTCGACTTCCAATTGGATTTTTTTTTGCATAAAAAGCAAAATTCTCGTTTGACAGCCAAAGGGGTGCGTGGAATAGAGTAGTGACGGGCGAGCCCAAGACGTTTTAATCGGTTGTCTCGATTGTTCAGATATTCGAGGTTTTCTCTCGTAGACGAATTACCACTCGCTTACAGCGTGTTTACATTAGACAATGCTATCAAGACAATAAATAAATACGTACTAGTTGTCAAAAACGCTAATATGGAAAAGTATGCATATATTAGTGAATAAGTGTGCATGTTTTGCTATTTTCATGACAGTAGCTTCCGGTGTAAACCCTAAAAGTATGTTCACACATCAATATTATCTAAATCAAAGCTCACTTTTTAATCACCCCGTTTACACAGGCAAATCTCAGATTATTAGCCGTCAAATTTGTTATGCTTGTTATCATGAACCAATTAGAACAAATTACTTTTTTCTTTTGCTTCATCTTGTCAGATCTTGTGCAGTTGGCTTGTTATTCTTACATATCAAGGAAAAGTTATGTTTCTTCTCTGTGCCACCGTGATAACGTTTTTCTGCTATATTGAGCAATATAAATATATTTTAAGTTAACATGTTATTAAAAATACCTTTACAAACTTCTTTTCCTTGCTAGCGTCCATTTTGTTTACTTTTACATTTGGCATTTCTCCTCTTTTTCGCAAACACAATCGATAAAACTAGGATGGACACCGAAAAGTTATCGGTTAAATCTGAGATTATTTTATAATTACAGATTAACAAGGGACGAATTTTATAATATGGCTCATTTCTTGTTCTAAATACAGATTAGGGTGTTAAGCTCGAAAATGAGGATAATCTACTTATATGTGAACCTTGTATAAGTAAAACAGCGATGGTAAGAAATTCGGCACGACAGATATGGTTTGACAGTGGGGGTCAATTCCCGTTCTGCGTTATCGTGAAGTGAAGTGAAAAGTCAAAAATTCAAACCGAAATAAGTGCGGTGTGCATTAAATAAATTTGTCAATATCACAAGCACTACTATTTTACACTTTTTTTTAATTAAATAAGACTAAGGCTCAATTTCAGATGGCCTACTTAAGTAGAGATTTACCTTGTTTATATGGCATCAAACGCGGTATCCAATTAACTCGTGTCAGCGTACTCCCTTGAAATGCAAGTGTTTATATGCAACACAAGAAATGAGTCGATCGAACACACTTTCAAACAGAGTTTATCCCGATGCAACCCTGTTAATACATGTGTCAATTCTTGAAAATAGTGAACATTGAGAAATAATAATTCCAGACTTAAACAGCCTTGTAAAAATTATCTAAGTTGTTAATTTTATAACAAAGGACGAATTCCGTGTTTATATGCACTCTTAACCCGATTCATCAACTCTTATCTCGCATTCAAAATGTGATTTATGGTGGCACGGTTAAAAGTTCCAATCCGATTAGAGAATGTGTTTACATATAACATGGTTTGACTTTAAGCTCAGTTTGAGGTCTATTCTGCGCTGGTAATAAACATTTTGTAACCGGTAAGTAAAGTTCCTGTCAATTTTTAAACCCTTTTCGCATTATGTGCTCTTGTAACCGGTAAATTTTGTTACTATCTCATAAGCTGGTAACAAAGTATTACCCCGTGAAATATGCAATGCCAGAATTTATTTATTATTTTAACTGCGTTACCAACGTACCCAGAATCGCGATGACAAGAACTGGTATAATTTTTTCGTAATAAAATTTTCCGGTTACAAAATATTCGGTAACGTGCAGAATTGATCTGTTAGTCTAGACTTAATTTCCGTAACTTAACTTAACTTAATATTTTGGCCAACCTGTTATATGAGAAATTGTGTTGGCGGTTAGTTAAAACTAAGTGATATCTTTATAATTCCGCTAACTAACATGGGGCCCACTGAAATATGTTGCTCTGTGGCTACGCCTCTGAATATTTTTACGTTTTCGCGTTATCGAATGTTCTTGTCCATTGCAAGTGGAAAACATCTGTCATTTTTGATTTTTTGCTTTGACCTGTCATTCGAGTTTTGCAGTCGCAGTCGCCACAGTATTTTTCTTTCATTTATTATTTTCGTAGGTGCTTTGTGGTTTGGTTTCGTACAATTTGAATTTCACCAATTATATTGCATTGCAAATTCTCTAAACAATTCAATATCGTTAAATAAATGCGCAGGACTCTAAGTGAAAGTGAAATTTAATAAAAATATGTACGAAAAGGTTATAAACTTTGAATTCAAAAGAAAGTGAAATGCCCAAAGTCGACGCGGTCAGAAGTCATTGAGCAAAGAAAAACGGCGCCATTTTAAGAATATAAATGCAGACGGATAAATGTGTATGTATGAAGGAGTCGAAGCAACGAATAACAGACAAAAGCAACAAAGGGAGAAAAGTGCCAGCAAATAGAAGGAAAAAGTGAAAAGTGAATTTTGAAGCCAATTTTTTCTTATGATTTTTAATTAGAATAACTAAGAAATTGTGTAAGCGTGTAATGTGCATAGAGTAGTGAACAAAATTAATAAGCATTTAGCGTAAGTGTATAGGCTGAAAAGAAAAAGGCAAAAATAAAACTGCAGCGCTCAGAGGAGAGAAAGAAAAGGAAAAATTGCAAAACGTGTAAGTGCACTAGATTACCAACTTTTATTATGGCTAGATTATAATAATTGTTGTATAAACTGAAAATATTCCAATGAATTCGCACTTTTAACTTTATTTACAGGAAAAAAACTTTTTTAAAATGCGTTGTTGAATGAGCTAAGTAGGCGCTTTGTGGTTTTTGTATGTGTGCGTTAACAGCCGTATGTATGCACTGGGTAACGGTGCTTGAAGTTGGCTAATTCCATGATTGGTTCATGGGCTAATTCCACTGACTATAGCTCACTAGCTGGTTGGTGTTTGGCTTGGTTGCGACGATGGTGGTTTGACCTACTTCATGCAATGGACTGACTACTGATGCAACCATAGCTGTTGATAGGGGGTAGAGGATTGAAGTTTTGAAACACGTACATACATATTTTGGAAATAAGACCATTCAATTAATTAATAATAGGTAATATTCAATTTTTATGTATTACAAATAGTTTAGCTTTTCACAATCAGTATATCGTCCCGAACGATAAGCTATACATGCACCCCATTTATTTTGGTTTCGCATTTGTTAGTAGCACTTACATATTTAGTTGCAGCTGCATTTTTTGGCATTTATCCTGCGTCATGCTTCAGTTATTCTAGTAGTTGGCGCAGGAAAACGCTTCCAAAACCCGCCCGTGATATGACACACTGGCAATTTAAACAAGATAGCATGTACTACCAAACTAAGCATTTATTTATGTTACTACTTGGCTCGTGCTTGTAAAATTGCTTGTATCAGCGGGAGTGACGGCTCGGCTAAAACCTTTGTTCAAAGCCGTTGGTGGTAAAATTATAAGTTTGTGCGTATGTATGTTCGTACATAAGTTGGTAGGCATGCATGTTGTCTTAGTCACGTCGCCCTTTGATGGTATATTTTGAAAAGTGATACCTATGTAAATGCATTTTGGAGGTATTTTTTCTTTTATGTACATTTCATACTTATGTATGGTTACTACAATATTTATGTACAGTGCACTCGCGAAAACTCGAACACACGATAACTAAAACGTTCGGAAACTTGAACATTTTTTCTACACCATTGACTAGTTCACAGGTTCTTAAACTTTTAAGATGATGGAACCCTTACTAAACACCACTAATTTTATGGAACCCCACATCAAATTACTAAAAATCAAAGGCATTGCAATTTATATATGAATAAAAACTTTTACTAGAAATAGTATACATACTTATACTTTTTACGAAGGTTTCAGATGATTTACCAAATGCCCAGTTATGTCATTTCACATTTCATTTGGCAATTCATCCCATTCCTTGTAGAAAGTTTTATACATATAACAAGAGGTCGAAAATATCCCTCAACACTTTGAAAGTGTCCCAAAATAACTGTCCCTATTTTAGAGAAAAAATAACCCACAAAACAGAACAGGTGGTTTATTTTTTGTAGATGTGTACTCCTCTGCGGGATAGGGTTATTTGCATATATTTTTCCGTTGCTGTTGGACACGAACACTTATCGCTGGAAGAGGAAAAACAAGTTGTGGTTGTTGATATAAGCAACGTTAGCGTCATGGTCATGCGGTGGCAGGGTAGCGTGCTTTTAAATCCTTGTTGATTTAACATCCGCTATCAATTAAGAAATATATTTGATTTGTGATTTGATTTGTTGACCAAATAAAAAATTAAATTTATTGGTGATTTGATTTGTCAACCAAATAAGAAATACAAATTTTTGATTTGATCGATCTTTCGATGATTTGGCGGATCTTTGTTTTTGTTTTTAACATTTTCTTCATCAATAAAATAAAATAGCTTATTTTCGGTGTATCATATTAAGAATGTATACGCTCTCTTCTTTATCATAAATGTTCCCACATGTATGTGTACGTATATGTCCTATAAAGAAATGCCTAACGCTTTGCTTCGACTTATTACGCCTACTAATATTTTTCAGTCTTACAATAACCCACAAATTAAGACACTTAAAAATAAAAGTCCCTGACAAAGTGTTTTTGCCCAAGGGACATTTTAGCAGTCGATAAATAACCCACAACGGAAAACACAAAGAGATCACACAGAGTTGTTGTTGTTGTCGTTGTTGTAGCGGCTACAACGACTCCGCCCAGATCGGCTGATATCTCAGTCGTCGTCGAGTTCCACTAACGGCAGCCCCAGGAAGCGTGCAGCCTCTATGGGGTCGGTCCATAAGGACGACGCCGTTAGGGTTGTGGGGTTTTCCGGGCTTGCGAAGAGATGTCTGGAGTCATTTGGCTCACAACAATATCACTGTAGCCCAATTTGGCTCACTTAGACTAGGTTCGCACAGAGAAACTTTTGTTGCTCGTTTTCGGCGATTTCTCTTTTGATGTTGCCCTTCGCGTTCACACAGATAAATTCTTTTGTGCACAATTGTTGTTGTCAACTGCGAACGGTCAACTAGAATTACTCAGACGAGCGAGAGCACAAAGCGTGTTGCCCGAGCACGAGCAACTCGGTGCCCTTCCCCCTTCCTCGTCTCCCCCTCTCCCACAAGTAAGGAGTTGCCGCGACAAAGGTTTCTCCGTCTGAACCTAGACTTACAACAAACAGATTTCGTAGAAGAACAACACGCGAAATGTTCACGGACAAAAATCGATCGACTATCAGTTGGCATACAACAACGTCCCTGTGGCTCAGTTCACCGACACAATCGGTTCAACATTCAGTTGGCTTACAATAGGGCCTTTATACATATACGTGCTATTATTACCAAAGAAATATTGCATGTAGCCATGACGTGCCCAAAAAAAATGACTTATCAGCGTTCTTGGAGACATTAATTGGCACATAAACCGTACAAAAATTTAAAAAAAACGAATTGGGCATCTTTTAATGCGGATTTATTGGGGTACTGTTTATTAATTTGTACAACGATTTTGGGTTGCTGTGCCCAAACGCGTGAATCGAGTCAAAAACCTTTTACACACACTTGTAGACAACAGTTCACGCTTTATTACAAAAATTTAATTTATTTAATCTGTATACCAATTTAACAATAATGTCGGTTATAAATATGGTATTTGTTGCAAATTTCCTAAATATATGTACACTGATTACTCTTATTCTGCCTTAAAGTAACCACTTAATATATACATTTTTATGTTTTTATTTACTTTACACATTACACTATTAGTTGTTAGTTGTTTTATTCCTTTAGTTGAAACTTATTCGGCGCCATGGGCGTAGCCAGGTAGGGGCAGGGGGGTGCTCGAGCCGCCCCCCCTAACTTTCAAATTTTCCTTATATATATATAAAATAGTACCCTGAAATGCCAGCTTAATAAGGTCGATCAGTTTTTAATCAGTTTTTGTAGACCATTTCATTCTAGTATAATGAAGTGCAAGTTTCAAGCTGCTATAAAATCCCGTTAATTTTTGGCATTTTTTTTTGCTGGCAATGTTCTCCATATAAAAGAAAATTGTCGTACATACCTTTGTATGGAAAAAACGTGAAACAAATTCAACAAAAAAAAAAATCATTTTTGTGAGCTGTAATACATAAAAGTACTGAGTTTACCAGCATTCAGAAATGATTCTACTTAATTTGAACTTTAAGTACAATACTTGTAGCCAGTAAAGTTGGCCATTCATTTGACGTAATTTCGGATTAATATATAAATTTGAATAAAGCGCTGCCAGCTTGAGAGATTTCTACACTAAGCATTGAAATGTTACCAACATGTGTACCAGAGATTGGAAAACGATGCTGTTTTTGTGACTTTAAACCTGCTCACATTTAAAACGGGGGATGAACGAACACCAGCACATAGCGTGCAGTGCTTGCAAATACAGCCACCGCAAGTGAACGATACTTATAACAGCTCATACTGATATCGACTTCGACCAGCAACCGCCGTATTTGATTGACTGCAGAAAGCACGATACTCCATTGGACGGTTGCCGAAAGCATAAGAGCTCATTTGGACGGTTGCCGAAAGCATGAGAGCTAATTTGGACGGTTGGCGAAGCAGTGTTGCCAGAGAAAAATTTCGTTTGGAGCTAAAACGGTCGAAAAAAAGAGCTAAAAAGAGCTAAATAATACTAATAGTAGCTAAAATATAGCTATATATTTTTGTTAACGTTGAACATTTATTGACGTAAGGTTGTTTTTACATTTTCGGCAATTTTAATAAAAAAAAACGAATTTTATAAGTTTAAGTGCTGAAAAAATCTTTTTTAACCCAAAATAAGGTGCATATATTTCGAATTCTTTGCTATGACTAAAGCTAAAGAGCTAAATCTAGCTCCAAGTGCACCAAACTGGCAACACTGTGGCGAAGGCAAGACGCCGCAGTTCATTTGTTGCAGAAGTCGTTTGACTTGTTGCTGAAAGCCATTTGATTTGTTGCTGAAAGCCATTTGACTTGTTGCCGGAAGCACGACGAATGTAGTAACAGGCTAACCTAATATTCACTCACGCCGCCAATTTACTGTAAAAAATTTCTCATGCACTTACAACTTGTATGGTACCAACCAGTACCAACCATGATAAAGTGTACTGGTACTGGTACTGGATAATAGTAAGGTAGAACCGCTGAGAGGATTCTTTCAAATTCTAGATGCGTACCAAACGCAAGCCGCGAATATTAAGCGCCACGGAGACAATCAAATAAATACGTCATACAAGTAAGAGAAACACAGTTTTTTTATTATAGTAATTTTTATTTATGTAGTTTAACAGCTTATTTAATAACTTATTTATTCCGTTAGTTTAACAAAGAAAAATACGGTCTTTAAAATGCGTGACCGGAATAGACCTGCCGAAAAGGTGAGGTTAAGTAACTGACAACATCTTGTTATTATTCCTCCATGCACAAACCCTTGTTAAATTGATAAACAATGTTAGAGAAAATGTTTAGTTTCAAATGATAAACAATGCTGATAATCAAATTGAGAAATACGATTTTCTCAAACGTTTGTAAATTTTTGTTCCAGTGTTTGTTGGGAAGCGGTGAATTAGCAAAAACTAACGGGACAAAAATCGATCGACATTCATTCACTGCTGCCTCGAGTTGGCAGGCATTTACTCCCACTAGAACTTGAAGGCAGATCTCCCAAAGTGAGGAATAAAAGAGTCCTCCCTTTGGCCTGATTACGGAGCAATAGGAGAGATTTGTCGATTTTGTTCTCCTTTATAATTCGCTTAGGAGTCAAATCGGAGATCTAAGTGAGCAACAAACGAATACTCCCAGAGGCATTATTTTGGAGTAATAAGCGATTTTTGTCGATTTTGTACTCGTTTAGGAGCATATAAAAGCAAAGTTTTGTTCATGCATTATATGGAAGAAAACGCGCAACACCCTCGACAAACAAATTCCAAAAAATCAACGGTAAATTTTAGCGACTTCAAACTTGCACTTTATTATACTAAAATTGAATGGCCAAAACTACAAATCTTGCTAGGAAATCTAATTTAAGAAATCAAAATTTTGTTTTTTTTTTTTAAGTTTTATTAGTTTTTGTCAACTGTGTGCGAGCTTTGAAACTTTTATTTATGTGGAATCTGATATAAGTCGACCCATATTTTAAATGAAAATTATTAACATTCAACAATTTTATAATGAGCTCGAGGCCATTTTTAAATGAAAAATTTATTGTGGAAAAGCAACAATAATTTGAAAAAATGGTAGAAGTGATAGCTATTTCGGAAATCACCACATTTCCTCATCAGACTTCTTTCAGTAGGATTCGAACCGACGATCNTCGAGCTCATTATAAAATTGTTGAATATAATTGTTAAATGGCCAAAAAATAACAAAAAACAGAAAATTATTAACAATAAATAAATAAAGGTAAGTTGCAAGTCATAGGGTAATCTGAAATTTTACCCATCTGCGACACGCCTTAACCGAATTCAATTGGGACCAAAATTTATATGTGATATCATCGACTATGGTAGGTAGTATCAATTTTGGGTATTAGATGAAAAAAAAATAATTTAATTTTTTGACTGTCCATAGAGGAATCTGAACTTTGCCCCCCTGTGCCACACGCCTTAGTCGTCTCCAATCGGAACCAAAATTGATATGTGATATCTTAGGCTATAGTAGCATCGACATAGGGGTTGAGGCTTAGGAAATCTATAATCTAGGATATAAAAGTTTGCTTCCTACAATTAAGGATCATTCTAATTTACATATTATCCATTTTCCAAAAAATATCACCGGTTTTTACCCCTATACTCTTTTATATAGTACATACCACGAAAAATCCAATCCAGCATGAATATTGCAAATACACAAGAATACATACATATGTATGTACATACATACATCCATAATTACATATGTACATTAAAACCAATTTTTCTTTAAATAGAGCTTTTGCATTACTAAAATATGAACAAATCGATAAATGAGTTAGGAGAAGAGAATGTTTTGGCCACACAATCGCAGGACGAGCAAAAGCAAACTGAGTCGGTTAGCGAAAATGAGGTAAGATACCCGATGAAAATTACTAACCTAAAATTCTTACAGTATGCTATTTATAATATTTTAGGAATCTGAATCGGTCACAGATCAGACGAGTAGCTCCTCATCTGAAACTACTAACACACAAAACTCGTTACCCAAGACTTCGAATTCCAAACGCAAATCTAATTCGACGTCTACGAAATCATCCTCTACAGTAACACAATTCAGCGTTGAACGTTCCGATGTGGATGGTTTACGCATGAAAATTTCTGCTATACGCCCATCTAATACTGTGTCTAATACTATTTCTAATACCAAACAACCTTCCCAAACTGCTGCGGCACCAAAAAATCAAGATTTCAGTGGAGAAAGTAGTGAAAAAACGAGAACTCAAATAAGCTCAGACAAGGATAGGGTGCTCTACAATAACAATAGTTTAACTAAGCCACTGACAGTTAAATTGAGTAACATAAAATTACAACAACATTCAACACAACCGGCGATTTCCTCGATAGAGTCAACGCGAGCACGGCCCACAACAGCAACTGCAGAACGCCAAACTTCCAGGAGTAGTGCCAACAAGATGTCAGTAGATGTGGTTCAACAGACTTTTGGAGCTGAATCAAGTGGCGTTACTGGCGCAAGTGAAAATACACACTTGGCTGAAACAAGCGCTATCGTAACATCTGTCGCGCCATCAGTTATAGCGGCACCCTCAATTGAGCTTCCACTGGCAAAATTTCTTCCGCAGGCACCGTGTTTGAGTGATGCCACTGCTGAGTCAGGATGTTCAGAGGCTACCACGACTACAATTGCAACCTGCGCCGAAAAGACTTTTTCTAAACGCGTTCGAGTAAAACGAAAAAAAGTAATTATAATATATTGCTAATGTTTAAATTATTCAAATTTGAAATCGATGCCCATTGCACGACTATTTTATGTATTTGCAGTAAAAATTATGAATATTTTAAAACAATAAGAATGTGCATATATGATTGCATTTATCGATTTGATATTTCATCTTTTTTCAACTTTTTCTAATTTATTTATTTATTTATTTATTTATTACAAGCTGAAGCTTGCAATTAAAATTATAAGCCTAGTAAAGAAAGCTATGGCTGCTATGGCCTTCAGCTTTTCTAATTGAAAAGCAATCTTTAATGTTGTTATATGTATATTATCTTATTTTTATTACTCTTATTCAGGCCCAATCGAAACAATCGCATGTTTACAAAAAGCCCGCTTTATCTGCAGCAGCTTCTGTCATAAAGTCGATACAAACACATCAACAACATAATTTTATGACGTACTCAACGGACTCCGAAGATGATGCGTCTATGCAAAAACAACAGCAACAACAAAAGCTTCAAAAACGTGCACCGCGCCTCCTCTTAACCGCTATAAATACAAATTCTACCAATGAGCCACAAATTAAACCACTGGCCATTAGCAGTGTTTCTGCGCTTCCAACTGGATCAGCAACTTTTAGTCACGGCAGTGATAATAGTGATAACGAGCTAAAATTGGATGATGTTGTGAATGCGGTGATTAAGCGAGTTGAAAGCGACGGCGATGATACACCAACCGGCCCCGAAGGATATCGTAAAACGCGAACCAAGCGATTACCACAATACCAGTCTACTTTGCTACAAGATTTCATGGAAAAGACTCAAATGCTAGGTAGCAGCAGTACTTCAACAACTGTGGAAGCACAAAATCTTGAATTGGATCAATCAAAAGAAACAAATTTATCAGCTCCCAAAAAAAGTAAAGTAACGTCTGACCTAATAGCCCATTTCAATTCTACGAACTCGCAAACGCACAGCATTACTTCTAGTGGAGCCGCCGTTGTCACTAATATTGTTAAGAAGAAACGCGGTAGGCCAAAAAAACCAACATTTACCCCTGCCTCGAATACCATACCATTAAATGCAGTTACTGGTACGCCTACGCCCGTTATTACTGCTACTTCCGCAGCAACAGCTGCAGCGGTTAGCTCTATTGCTATTAATATCAATGAGTCGGCTGACTCTGGTGTTATATCCACAACAAGCACAACCACCACCCAAAGCAGTACGTCCCCTTCGCCAAAGCTCTCTTGTGCTATTAGCAGTGGTAGTAGCAGTACATTGCGTTTGACTGCAACAACGCCGAGCCAAAAGCGACGTAATCGTACCTTGGAGCCATCTGAGAGTACGCGACAACCTTCAGTTTCGCCTTGCAAAAGTCAAACGCAGGATGGTAGTGGAAGTTGCAGCGCAAACTCTCCAAAACCTAAAATCGATATTGCATACTTGGACAAGCGGATGTATGCGGCCACGGAGCGCGTACTCTATCCACCACCACGCAATAAACGCCGTCAGTCGGTAAGCGCATCAAGCGTAATTCCTACAAATACACCTACGAATAAGAATGCTGGGAAATCACCTGCTACATCGACTGGTGGCAACACAATTGGCATTCCGGGCACACCCGTTTCAGCAAAGCCTCCAACAAAAGAAGAGCTTCAACTTGATCCAGTGTGGCGTAAAATCGATGTGAATAAAAAATTTCGACGACCCAGCGTAGGCGGTTATAAAAGCGATGGTGGTGGTGGCAATACGACAATATGTAGCAAAATACTTGCCGCAAAGAGTGGATATGTCTCGGATTATGGTTCGTTTCATGCGCGTGCTCCCCGCGATCACTCGGGTTACAAAAGCGATGTCAGCGGCAAAAGCCGCTACAGCGTGAAAAGCTGTGCGAGTCGGCGCAGCCGCGCTAAAAGCTGTGGCTATCGCAGTGATTATAAGGACGGTAAAGATGCTACGTCACTAAAATCAAAATATCGACGAAAACGACGTTCGATGCTAATGCGCGCGCATTCCAGGTCTGTAGGAAATTTGGCGACCAATTTGAACGACGTCGAAAAGGACATACTTCAACTGGCTGGCCTTTCCCTCGGCCAGAGTAGTGAAGAAAGCAATGAATATGTATGTAAACCTAACTTAGAGAGTCTGCCAACGACGAGTGCCTCTAAGAAATATGGTGAAATTAACCGATTCATCGCCACGGGTGAATACTTCGGTCGTGGTAGTAGCCACAGCACGCTCACAAGCAAGGGCAATCTATTTTCTGGCTCTTTGCATGACAACGCCGACGGCAGCGGTTCGCATGATGGCTATGGTTTCAGTCGCAAGCTATTGCTACAACGTAAGCATTCGTCTGTCGCTGTCGCTGGCGCTGCCCACGACATGTTGCTGCCACACGCTCATTCCTCGCGTAAAATTAAATCTCGACGCTCTTCTGTAGCCAGTTACTGTAGCTCCTACTATTCAACTATGTCGAAAGTTCGCAGGCGACGAAGGCGGAAAAGCTTTCTACGATTTCCTTCCTCCGGCAAAAGTGGCGCAATAATTGACTCGAAACTGCTTACCGAAATTGATATACTCACTAACACATTTAGCACACGTTGTCGTATACAAAGCGGTGCTGTAGGCGGCGAAAAGGCTACCAGCAGCAATAAAGATAAAGTACCTGCTGAAAGTGGTGGAGGCAAGATGCAGACCAGCAACTCTGCATCAATGAGCGGTAGCCTGGGAAAGCGTGAGCAGCGCGACAAGCGCTCGCTAAAAAAGCGCAAGATGAGCGAAAACCAAGAGCACGGGCTTTTGTCGGTCAGCGCTGGAGGAAACGGAAGTGGTGGCGGCTTTGGCGGCTCGACTATGGCGAGCGGCAGTGGTAGCGGGGCAAAACGACGGCACAAGAAAGCCAATAGTAGCTCTAGTCCAGACGACCACAAGTTGCCTCTGAAAAAGCGCCATTATTTATTGACACCAGGGGAAAAATCGACCGAAGCGGCCGCAGCAGCAGCAGTAGCAGCGAAACTTTTCGGCAGCACTGCCGTAGAGGCCTGGGCGGCTGCTGTTGCCTCGTCCAAATTGGCTTCTGCCGGCAAAGCGCAACACAGTCAGCAACAATTTGGCGCTCTCTGCGGTAGCACTGCATCGGTTTCGGTGGCTGGCAGCACACATAGTGGCAGCACAAAATCTTCAAAAACCGGCGTAACACCAAAAAAACGGCAGTTCACTCAACAGGAAGAAGGCAGGGAGGCCGCGGGCAACACATCGAAAGGCAACGGTAGCCATAACAGCAACAGCTCGCCTTTACGCATTGCCATCGACAATACTCTCAGTCAAAAGTTACTCGATATCAGTCCTTTATCAGTCGCGGGCAGTACAAAACAGAGCGATGTTGTGCACCGAAAGCGTTCCCGGCTCGAAGTGCTAGTTTCGAAAATTGTTGCGACCACCAGCAACACCCAAAGTCAAGCCGGTGGGAAGCAATCACCTACCACCATGCCTACCAAACCGAAACAAACGACGTCTGGCACGCATCTTAACCAACAACATTCGAATGGCACACCGCCGCCTGGTGTATTCGAACCTTCTGTGGCTTTAGAAATACAAATTCCACCAATAGTAAAATTAAGCGAGACTTCGAGTGGAGGAGTTTCGAGCGTACCGCCCGTAGTTACGAAATCGGAAGTAAACTCGCCACTTTTGCTGCAAGATTTGGCCTCGCCTGCCGTAGCAGCGTCCATGGCCAAGACCGAGAGTACATCAACGCGTGTGGTGGAAACGTTGCTGAGCAAAACTGGCGCTGCCAACTTAATGTTGAAACGTAAGCGCAAGAAAATCAATCGCACTGGCTTTCCAAACGTGCGTCGACGAAAAAAGAGAAATATTAGTGAGCAAATGTTGCTCGATATCGTGGAGAATGTGGTAGAGCGTACACTGCCGATGAAAAGACGTCCGCGAGTACACGTCAAGCAGAACACACAAACTCCTGCGGCACCCGTTCGGTCTAGTGAAAGTATCACTGCTGCACCTACTACTGCACCTGCTGCTACAAAAGCTCCCACTATACCAGCGGCTGTATTGGCCACCACTGAGAAACCCTGTGATCGCGTACCCGTCTCAGGTGAGGCCAGTGATAGTTTTCTCGAACGTGCCAATCGCACCCCACGGCTCTCTGTGGTGGCTTTGGAGCGCTTGCGAGGCACTCCAACACCGACAACTTCAGTGGCAGCTGCAACAGTTGCTGCGCCTACTCTGGTTTCAGCGGCATCAACGCCGAGTGAAGTAGTTGAGGAGCACAAAGAGAACTCGTTTTTGTCGCGCAAAGGTCGTGTAGGACGAAAACCCAAAAATATTGGTAATCCTACGAAGAGAGTAAATGAAGGACCGCAATGCACAAAAGGCGAGCAATCAGTTGATACATCAACAAAAGCAGCGGAACATGCGGAGATTGCAACACGCAAGAGCGTAAGGACATCCACGCCTAGCGCAGGTGTAGAACTTGCAGATGTAGTAACTTCCACTAAATTAGCCCCAGCTGGTCCTGCTACGCCCAAATCTACCAAACGAACGAAGGCAGTTGAGCCTGCTACGGAGGCTACAAAAATTAAACCGGCCGGTGGTGAACCAATTCCGCTTCTGGTCAACACTAACAATGCTTTACCACGAGCGCGTGGCCGCAAGTCGAAGTTAGCCGCAGCCGCAACCTTGACAACAACTGCTTCAAAGATCACGCAATTGACGTCCGATGAAAATCAAAAGAAGCTTAAAGCTGCAGTGCCAGAAAGGAACAAAGAGCCCTCCGCGCCGCTTGTGAAACAAACTAGGAAATCTGCAACCACAACGTCAAGCGTTCTGAAAACTTCAGAACATCCGGCTAGCTTTAGCAAATCAACCGTACACAAAATCATTACAGCAAAATCGCTGGAGGCAAAAGTTAAATTACCAGCTGGCATTGATCCAAACACGAATTTCAGCTGTAAAATTCGCCTCAAGCGTCCTAGTACAGCAAAATCACAGCTGGTGAACGCGCATCGCCAAAGTATGGATTCCAATGGGGATGGCAGCAGCATCAAGGACGTGCCGCAGTCTACGCCTGAGCAAATCGCTGTCGAAGCAGCCGCAAAAGACTCGAATATCGACTACCTCGAGCAGAATATTTTGCCGCGCAGCGAAACACCTTTCATTGAATCGGAAGCAGCTACAAGTGACACCAGCGATGAGAAATGTTCAACCACAACATCAACTAGTGCTAGTAACGTCAGTGCCAGTGCAGTAAGAAAAGTTGCACGCCTCAAGAAAAACTACTTGGTTGCTGGTCTCTTCTCGGATTATTTTAAGGCCTTGCATTCCACGATAGGTGCCAAGAAGGAGAAGAAGGATGCGGCGCATACACCAGTGGCCGTTGAGTTAGAATGCAGTGCTGAAAGTAATAACAATGTCAGCAGCAGCACCAGTGTCCCAGTAGCGCCTAGTCTGCCACCACCACCTTATTGTGAGCAATACTTTCGCCGCACGCAAGTGGATTTCGAACTACCCTACGATATTTGGTGGGCCTACACAAACTCCAAGTTACCTACAAGAATCACGGTGCCTTCGTGGAATTACCGCAAAATACGCACAAATATTTATGCGGATGCAGTACGTCCCAACTTGGCTGGCCTGGATCACCCGACCTGCAATTGCAAACCGGATCAGGGTTGTGGGGACAATTGTTTGAATCGCATGGTCTACACTGAATGTTCGCCTTCAAGTTGTCCGGCACGTGATAAATGTCGCAATCAAAAGATTCAGCGCCACGATGTAGCACCTGGTGTTGAGCGTTTCATGACCACCGATAAGGGTTGGGGTGTACGTACCAAACTGCCAATTAAGAAGGGCACTTACATACTTGAGTATGTCGGCGAGGTGGTTACCGAGCGCGAATTCAAGGATCGGATGGGTACCATCTACCTGAACGACACGCATCACTATTGTCTTCATTTGGATGGCGGTTTGGTTATCGATGGTCATCGTATGGGCAGTGATGGGCGTTTTGTGAATCACTCGTGCCAACCGAATTGCGAGATGCAAAAATGGTCAGTGAATGGTTTGTCGCGCATGGCGCTCTTCGCTAAGCGCAACATTGAGCCGGGTGAAGAGATATCGTATGACTACAATTTTTCACTTTTCAATCCGTCGGAGGGTCAACCGTGCCGTTGCAACACACCGCAGTGCAGGGGCGTAATAGGCGGTAAATCCCAACGTGTTAAACCGCTGCCAATCGAAGCTAAGGTACATAAGTGGCTAAGATGTTGCAAGCGAACTTTTTTTTATTTATTTTAGATTTAATTCTAAAAATTGTACTCCTTTTTATGTTCATCGCGTCTAGCCCGCCGAGCCAGCACAAGAAGACGCGCCCAGTTGCCGCCAACGTAAGCGTAAAGCGCATAAAAATATCGAGCGAATTCTTTCGAAAGATGTAGTGGTCGCACGTGTGCAGCAGATTTCGGAAAAGGAAAAGAAGTTGGTCAAACAACATGGCATATTTTTGGTGCGCAACTTTGAAAAGGTAAGCTTCAGCATCACTGTAACCACGTATAATTAAATTGCAAGCTTTGTTTTTACTATTTGTCTGCAGATACGCCGCTGCAAAGCACGGCGATCTGCAAATTCCACTAGTGAGCCAAAACTGAATGGGATTTCCATCACGCCGCCAACTACGCCCATTACAAGCTGTTCGCCTACAGTTACAAATACCGTTGCTGCCATCACAACTCGCCGGTCATCTACTCCACCGTCGCTGGCTGCGCAAATTTCAGCGCTGCGCTCGCCACGCAGCATAAAAACTCGCGGTCTTACCCATGCCGTGCAGGACCCGGAGGTGGAGAAAATGGCTAAAATAGCAGTGATTTTACGTGATATTTGCGCGTTTTTAGAAATGCTAAAAGATCCCAAAAATGAGAAGCAGACGCTGGCTACTTTGGCGCTTACGAATGCCGCACCTTCTGCTAACAAAGTCGGCGGTGGTGACGCTGGTGGGATTAGCGATAGCGCTAGCAGTAGCAATGTCTGTGGTACTAGCAAAAAAAAGCGAGCATTGAAAGCGTCACAAAAGTATACAGCAATTAGTTTGAAAATGGTGCAAAGTAACGTCGAGCAAGGCTACTACAAACTACCCTCAGAGTTCAATGCAGACATGCAAAAAGTATTTACAGCAGCGCAAGATCACGTGACGAAGGGTGGACGCCAGGAGGCAGCATTGAAGGAGCTTATTACAGCTTATGAACGCATAAAACAGGAGTCCTATGCGCGTTTGCTGGAAATCGTCGGCGGTGATGAAACTATTTTGATGGGCTTCTGTGATCGCAACATATCAACTTCATCACCAAAGGTGAAAGAAGAAAATCCCAAAGTGCTACCATATGTTGCCGGCATGCCGCATCATGCTGCAGTTGGCGATACCACCACATCTATTATAACGCCCACTACTTCGGGTGAGGATATAATACGTTGCATATGTGGCTTATACAAAGACGAGGGTCTGATGATACAATGTGCACGTTGTATGGTTTGGCAGCATACTGAATGCACCAAAGCGGACGTAAACGCCGACAACTATCTCTGCGAGCGTTGCGAGCCACGCATTGTAGACCGTGAAATACCGCTGGACGATTACACGGAAGAGGGCCATCGCTACTATTTGACATTGATGCGCGGCGATCTACATGTGCGACAAAGTGATGCTGTTTATGTTTTGCGCGATATTCCTGTTAAAGATGCGTCGGGCAGCGTGGTGCCGACGCAGAAGCATACCTATGAAACTATTGGTAATATTGACTATAATGAATGTGACATATTTCGTGTGGAGCGCTTGTGGAAAAATGAGGAGGGCAAACGTTTTATTTTTGGACATCATTTTTTGCGGCCGCATGAGACATTCCATGAACCGTCGCGTCGATTCTATCCCAATGAAGTGGTGCGTGTGCCGCTCTATGAAATCGTGCCAATCGAACTTGTTATCGGACGTTGTTGGGTGCTGGATCGCACGACTTTTTGCAAAGGCCGGCCTGTGGAGTGTACCGATGAGAAGCATTGTTACATTTGTGAGCTGCGGGTGGACAAAACGGCGCGTTTCTTCTCGAAGGCAAGGGTCAATTACCCAACTTGTACAAAAACCTATGCATTTAGGAAGTTTCCGGAAAAACGAAAAATTTCCAAAAGCTATGCGGTAAGTACAGTGGTTGATCTTAGAGTATAAAATAAAACGTGCTATCTCAAAAAACTTTTCAAGAACGCCCTATTTCAGAATTTAGGAGTGTTCGCTATGCAAAAAATGTGTACAAGTTGGTACCAATTGTTACCAAATCGTGTTCGTTTAGCCAAAAACCCAGTAAAGCTTGCAAGGAGAGAGCACAATTTTGACATTTCATTTGGAGGGGAAGTTGCAAATTCGTGCTGGGAAAATTTTTGCCAGTAAGAATTTGCAAGCAGGATTGTGACACACGGTTGCATTTTTGTCAACATTAATTTCAATCAACGAGCTCGTTAAATTTAAAAATGAACAATCTTGTTGCGATTTACTAATGAAAGAAGTATGTAAATATTCGTTTATTCAATTAATTTAATTAATTCCAAACATTTGAAAGGTACTCGGCTAAAAAAGCTTTATTCGTAATCGGAACGCACTCGACACCACTGTCGATATAGGAAATCCGACAGTGACTTGCACAATGAAATTGAAGCGTATGTTCAAGAAAGTCAGAATAAGAAGAAATATACGTATAGGTCCTGTTTTGGTTTCCACCTGAAATAATTAAAAAAATTTATTATGCTCGAAATGCAGCCGTGGACGCCAGCTGGTTGTTGTTGTTGTTGTTGTAGCAGCATACAAATTCCCCAAAGACTTTTTGGGGAGTGTTGCTGGAGTGACAGTCCTTGGCCAGATATAAATCTGGGTCGTTCCGGTTACGTAGACCCGACTGTCGTGGGAACGTGTAGACCCGACTGTCGTGGGAACGTAGTGTAGCTGGTAGTGTAGCTTGCTAATGTTTGCTAATTCCTGTTTGCGCAAAACTTAGTAATTTTCTCTCTTTGGGAGAGTAAGGTACCTTGTTCTCTGAATTTTGTTACTGGCCAATTCTTACTGGCAGTTGCATAGCGAACACTCCTTTTGATTGAAAAACACCCTATCTCAGAATTCGGTTCTAAAACGCGCTATCTTTCTTCAAAATGTATTGAAAATGTGCTGATATAGGGCGTTTTTGAATCGGCAGCTAAGATAAGGCGTTTTTGAAATGAATTCTGAAATAGGGCGTTCTTGAAAAGTTTTTTGAGATAGGGCGTTTTCGAACTGGCTGCCGAGATAGGCCGATCTTCCACTCAGCAATCGAAATAAAAAAATTAATTCCTAAAATATAAATAATATGTTCACAGCCGCATGATGTTGATCCGGCTTTATTGAAACCGAAACGACAAAAGACTGATATCGAAACGGAAACGAATACGAGAACCTCAGCCACTAGATCTGTGACGCCTGTCCCACCTACTAGTGCAACAGAGGAGCCGCAGGCAAGTGCAGCAGCTAGCAGACCGAATTCGAATAAAACTCCGCAAAGTGTTGGCCGCAAACGTCGCCATAGTAGCAGCCCAGCCACAGTGCATTTGATTTGTCCAATACCACCGAGTGTGCAGGTATGAAATAAAGGGTGTGTTCAGAAATGCATCAAGTAAAACTATCAGTCACTTTTATTTCTAAACTATAACTGATGAAAATGCTGACTTACGTGGTTGCGTATATTGGATATTTCCATCAATTATAGTTTAGAAATAACACAGACTGTTGCTTTATCTTGATGCATTTCTGAACACACTCAAACTTGCTTCTCATAAATGCTAAAACACATTTTTATAACATCTTTTCAGACTATCAAACAGAAACGTACCCGTTTGGAAACTGTACTCAAGGCTATGAAACTGAGATGGAAGAATGCTCATGGGGTTGGCACAGAACAGCCCATTGATTTATCATATTTACTCTCTGGACGTGGTGCGAGGCAGCGTAAGACACAAGTGCCAGCTGCTAACAATTCCGCAGCTGCATCATCTACGTCACTAACAAGCACGACTTCATCAACGTCAAAAGCGTCGACCTAACGTCTGGTGCATAAAATTGGTTCGAAGTGGCAGGAAGCCTATGAACTATATATTACAACATAGATTTAATTTAATAAAATAAGAAAAATGCCCCAATCTGAATGATAATGAGCAAATGTATAAATGTAAACTAACACGAAACACACACAGCACAACTTGCGATCAATATTAAATATCTTATACATATATTATATAAATAGCAACTTAATATTTATAATTAACGCCTATTGATACAGTACATACATACTTATATGTACATGTATGCCTATGTACTATACGCATTGAATCGCCACATTCGTATCAAATTAACTTACAAAAGCATGGTCATTCTACATGGAATTTGTAAGCTTATTGAACTACTTGTTATTTTCTGTTTTTGAATTTCATTAATACAATTTTAGCGCACGCTTAGGCTATTATTATAATTATTAAAATTGGTAGAGATTTAAGTTGTTTATTTATCAAATGTAAACCGAATCGACCAGTCGATTTTAGCAATTACCATTTTTTCTTATATCGAATGCTGTATTGGAGTGAAATTATTTATTTTTAACTGACTTATTTTCATTATTTTGTTTTAGTTACATCTTTGAATAATCTCGAACTTAAATTCTAACTCTAGGGATTTTGTTTTTAGTTATAACTATCCATTCGGTTTATGAATTGTTTTATTGCTCTTATTAGTTGTTAACAGCACATAACTAATTTTTATAAAAATATATCATAACAAATGCCTTTTTTGCAAACTACTAACTGCTTGTCTATTTTTAGATCATGGAAGTTTCTCGTTTAAACTTGTTTTCCTTCCATAATATTTGTTGTTAAACTATTGTAAAAAAAAAACAAAAATGGATTATTTCTCAAAATTAAAAAAAAATATATATATATTTTTTCATCAGAAATTCTGAAATTGCGTTTTTTTATGGAAAAATTTGCTGTGGTGTACAAATAAATTGAATTTTGCTGTGCCAAATACCAAGTAAAAGTTTGACAGTTGAAAAAACAAACAAACGCAAGTGCGAAAGCTCTGTTTTTGTGTGTTGCAGAAATTGTTAAAATTTATTTTTGATTTATAACTTGCAAGAAACGAGAGTTATGCTCACAGAGAGCGAAATAAAGAAATAGTAAAGAAACGCAAAACTAGCAGNTTTTATGGAAAAATTTGCTGTGGTGTACAAATAAATTGAATTTTGCTGTGCCAAATACCAAGTAAAAGTTTGACAGTTGAAAAAACAAACAAACGCAAGTGCGAAAGCTCTGTTTTTGTGTGTTGCAGAAATTGTTAAAATTTATTTTTGATTTATAACTTGCAAGAAACGAGAGTTATGCTCACAGAGAGCGAAATAAAGAAATAGTAAAGAAACGCAAAACTAGCAGAAACTAGCAAGTAAAAAGCTGATCGATGTATTTGACTATTGGAAATATTTGGCCCGAATTTTTGTTTGTCCATTTTGACAGCTGCTAGTTCCTGCTAGTAAAAATTGTACCAGCAGGAATTAGCAGGAGCAAAAATTAAGAGCGTAAGAACGAGAGAGAGCTGCTAGTTTTTTGGGTTAAGAACCGCTCTCCAGCAGAAATTAGTGATAATTATCTGAAACATAGCTTTTATTACCGCCAAGCATATGTATACATAATTGCATTCCCTAACTCGCAAGAACTTACAGGAATTTACCAGAAAGCGTTCCCGTACTCGGTTCTCTGGCTTCTTTTGCCTTTTGACAGTTTTACAGGTTTTAACCCCCAGAAAAGTTGGGGAACGCAACTCATGTGTGTATACATGTTTATAAGCTGTCAAAATTTTACCTATTTCATTTCTTTAGGGCCGGTTGTTCAATGTCTGATTAGCACTAATCGGAGGTAGAAATTATATCCCGGGATCCCGTGGGCTTGATCCCGGGGTTTCAGGACTCAAAAAAGGGCTCGGGATTCCCGGGGTTCAGGATCCGTAATCCGGTGCTAGTTGCCTTAATTACAACAAAACGAAAAATTGTTTCAAGAATTTTTATTTAAATTAATTTTTTAGTAATCTTTTCTTAAAATAAATGGAGTCTTTCAACATAACAAAAAACTTCAAAACAAATGTTTTTTATTAAGTGGTTTTCTACCAAAAAAAAATAATTTCTGTAAAAAATAAGTTGTTGCGCTCATGATAAAAACATTACAAGGTAAATTCATTCTCTCATTTCGTCGGCCATGATTTTTTTCTGACGTTTGCCAACATTTTAAAATCATATAAAATTGAAAATAAAAAAATTAAATTGCTCACAATTGTTGTTTGAGATTGAAAATGAGAATGTGTGTGTGAGTTTGAGTTTTGATTTTAAAATTATATTGTTGGCAAACGTCAGACTGCCTCTCAATGGTTTTACCTTGTTACGTTTTTATCATGGTTGCGCTAATAAATTTGTGAAAGTATTAGCAAATTTCAGTGCATCTAAAGTTTCTAATGCGTTGTTTACTTTTACTTTAGAATTGTCAAAATCAGTAAATCCCAAGTAGCGGTTTCTGGAACGTGCAACATTTGTTCGCTACATCGTGATGTGATGAAAAGAAAAGCTGGCAGCTCTCCGCAAGATTACAGAAATCTTTCAAAATATGTTCAAAAAATATCCTGATATGGAAGGAACTGCTTTACACTGTCAAGGAAAAAAATTGCCGAAGCTCAACGCAATTTTTAGAAACTTCAATCTTGCACTTTTTACACTAAAATTCATTTCTTTTTAGATTCTTGCAGAATTTTTTTTTAATTTTTGTACAAAGTTTGATCCAAAACTCGAGATCTGCCACAGTTTGAAATCTACCACATTTTTTCCAGATTCTACCACACAATTTTGAAAGTCCAAATACAAGATCACGTAATAACGCGACGTTGTATTTGTAACTGGTTTCGAGAAAAAAGTTTGCGAAAGCGGGTTCGTCAGATGAGCGTTTGGTTACATCACAAGCACCACTATTTTACACTTTTATTTAAGTAAACAAGAGTTAATTCAACATGACAACACATTTTCAAACATTTTATTGCATCATTTTACCTAAATTGTGCGTTTAAAGTGGCTGACAATAATTTTGGTTTTCGTTGTTTTCTTTGCGTTGTTTACTTTTTGCTCGTTTTCCAGTGAAACAAGATGGCGTAGAACCCGCTACAAAAAATCGACTTTTTTAACTCTCTTGTTCTTACCTGATCTTGTGTCTTTCGTTCATGAAAATTCATGGTCCTTCTCATTATCAACCCTAATCAGATTGTACCCCAACCCCCACCCCCGGCGCCCGCATGAGGAGTACACAAAAAGGTTTATTACTCCATATACGAAGTCCGATCACTGGTTATTACCCCAGCTGTGAACTAGGAATATCAGTGGCAAAAATACATCGATGTTTTTCTTTGATTCGATGCATCGAAATGTACATCAATATTTTTCGATGCATCGAAGGGCATAGGATTTTTCATATAATGTTTCACAACAAAATTGTAAAAAATTTAAAATAAATTACTGCGACTGTGCTAATTATGTTTCTAACGGAACTTCTTGCAGCCATTTAAATTTTTTGGCCATAGTCACCTCTTTTTTTTTAACAATTTTAAAACTGGAATGACGGTTCAATGTACCGTAGATGTCAGCTTTCAAAAAACATCGATACATGACTATTTATACATCGAGTGGAAAATTTTCGATGCATCGAAGCAAAACATCGATATTTTCGATGCATCGATGATTTTCCGATTGTTCCTTCTGTGAACTTTTTCCTGCGTGTACAAATTGTATGGAATTTTTGCAAATTTTCATATAAATTTTATGTAGCGCAAACTATTAGTTATCAACGGTAGTTAGAAGATACTTAAGTTGAAAAAAAAACAGTGCCCAAATAGTAACAGCAGTAGTGCAACTGTGTGGCAATTTATCGTGTTGTGCATTGAAGGCTGGCTACTGCCTTGCAGTGGGGAAAGTATACCACGTTCCAGGAATTTAAGAACTGCACGGAGGGATAAAAATGGGCAAATTTACGCATATTTTACAGCGTGAGTTTCCAGCCATTGACAATGAGCTAAAGGATTATGTGGAGGGTGAGTTTGTCACATTCTGAAGAGAAGTTAGATCCATCGACAAATTCGCATTTCAGGTGTACTATGTGGTAGTTTGGAAGACTTTGAGTCATGCGATGATATATATGAGGCCGTGGGTGATATACTGCAAAGCATTGATATGGAAAAGACAGAGGATGATATAAGGTTAGTTGCAAAACGAAAATTGGGAGTTACTTTAATAATAAACTTTTTTTCTTGTAGAGAACTCTGCGATCAATTTTATAATATCATCAAAAAAAATACTAAAAATGAGACACGTAAAGTATTAAATGCACCCGTCAATATCGCCGAAATGGCAAAAGAGATGGAAAATGTTGATAAAAATATGCAAAGCATATGGCTTAATTCAAAGGACGGTGGATCGGTAAAATATTTTTTCAATATAATATTCAATATAATAAAAACCATAACATGCATGTGCATAATTTCTTTTAAATGCAGAAGGTAAATAGTAAGAAACTAGAGAAGGCCGAAGCAAAGCTACAGCAAAAGCAAGAAAAACGGTCTGACGTGGGAAAATCAGCCGTAGCCGCGCCCGTCAAGCTGCAAACTGCAACAGCTTCACAAGTAATGAGCAAGAAAAATACTAAAATGGAACAAAAGGGTACCAATCGTTCGATGGACATTAAAATCGAGAACTTCGATTTGGCTTTTGGTGACAAGTATGTACATAACCAGGGAACGGATTTAATGGAAATTACCTTTTTTTCTGCAAAAGAGTCAGAATATATTCCATTAACAATGTCCACGATTTAGCTTTCCCTGATTCCATATATATATATTTGATTTTGGATATGAATGTTTTAAACGTTCCATATTTAAATTGGGACCACTTGTATCAACTAACGTCAACGGACGTTTAGTACATTCAAGGCTTTTCTTCGCGAAAATCGAATAAAAATGCTGCCAGAAAACTTCAAAATGCATCTTGTGGTCCAATGTTACTATGTACAACAATAGAGATTAAAGTTTTGTGAATTAAAAACTAGAAAAGAGAAAATAGTTAAAGATTTGAAGCATACATTTTTCATATAATGAATTTTTCTCTTTTGACTTGTAAAATAAACATCCTTAAAATAAATTCTTTCTTTAGTTCCCTTTGCCAATTTGCCACTTCAAGTGCCTTTTCCTGCCTAAAAGTTATTTTATTTTGCCTTTTTTTTTATAGATCTTTAGGTCCTAAAAATCCGTTCCCTGTACATAACCCACCCTCTTGAATGCCAACCAGCAAGTAGATATATTTCATTATTTATTCGCAGGGTTCTGTTGCAAAATGCAAACTTGTTGTTATCGTGCGGCCGGCGCTATGGTCTAGTCGGCCGTAATGGTTTGGGTAAAACCACCCTGCTTCGCATGATATCTGATCGTCAATTGGCCATTCCCTCACACATTAGCGTGCTTCATGTCGAACAGGAAGTAGTAGGCAATGATACTAAAGCCGTTGATAGTGTTTTGGAATGTGATTTAGAGCGTAATCGCCTATTGACACGCGAAAAAGAAATACTTGCCACACTAAATAGCGGTGTACAGGATACGAAATTAAGTTCCGAATTGAATGAAGTGTACGCACAATTGCAAAATATTGAAGCTGACAAAGCGGTGGCACGTGCTTCTGTTATATTACGTGGTTTGGGTTTTGACGCCGATATGCAGCAAAGACCAACTAGATCTTTCTCTGGCGGCTGGCGTATGCGTTTGGCTTTAGCACGTGCGCTCTTCTCCAAACCCGATTTACTATTGCTCGATGAACCGACAAACATGTTGGATATTAAGGCTATTATTTGGCTGGAAAATTACCTTCAGACTTGGCCGACAACGCTTTTAGTTGTTTCTCACGATCGTAACTTTTTGGAAACTGTACCAACGGATATCATACATCTACATTCCCAGGCACTGGAAGCTTACAAGTGAGTTAATGAATACAGGTTTGCCAATGTAATTGCTATTCGGCAACTAATATTAAAAATTTCATGTAGAGGTAATTATGAGCAGTTTGAAAAGACTAAAAACGAAAAGATGAAGTCCCAGCGGCGCGAATATGAGGCACAAATGGCACATCGTGCGCACGTCCAAGAATTCATCGACCGCTTTCGTTACAACGCTAACCGCGCTTCATCCGTGCAGTCAAAAATTAAAATGTTGGAAAAACTGTAAGTCTATAAAATATAAGTGTTAGGCTAAGTCGTATTGCTAGCTTTAAACTCTGTGTAGGTTTAATCAGTCCATTAATTTGTACATTCAACTTCCAATTTCAGCCCCGAATTGAAACCTGTTGAGAAAGAAATCGAAGTTAAACTGAAATTCCCTGATGTTGAACCTTTAAATCCACCGGTATTAGCTTTATCCGAAATCGAATTTAGATATAAAGACACAGATCCATTGCCCGTTTTTAAAAATGTGAATTTATCAGCTACCTCCGATTCTAGAATTTGTATAGTAAGTTGAAATGTGATCTAATTACATATATATAAATATCTTTGACTTCTACGAATTTTGTATGCATACATTCGTTGTTTTAGGTAGGTGAAAACGGTGCTGGTAAAACAACATTGCTCAAAATCATTGTTGGTCAATTGACCACCATACATGGCAACATCATTTCGCATCGGGGTCTTCGTATTGGTTACTTTGCGCAACATCACGTCGATCATTTGAATATGAATACCACCTGTGTGGGCGTTTTGGCCGAACTCTTCCAAGGACGGCCGGATGAAGAATACCGACGACAATTGGGCAGTTTTGGCATATCAGGGCAGTTGGCTTTGCAGAGCATTGCCAGTTTATCGGGAGGACAGAAATCGCGTGTAGCTCTTGCGAAAATGTGCATGGGTATTGTGTACTAAAATAATTGAAATAAATCACTAGTTATCGGAATTTTGTTTTTTTAGCCGATCCTAACTTTTTGGTGCTTGATGAACCTACAAATCACTTGGATATTGAGACCATTGATGCCTTAGGAAGAGCGATTAATGCATTTAAGGTATTGCTAAGCCTCGAATGTTAGGCTGAACTATTATGTCATCTGATATTTCGTACCAAATATTTTCGCTACAAAAATGTATTCAATTTTTTTATTAAAACAACATTTTTCTCTTCATAGGGTGGCGTCATTTTAGTATCTCACGACGAACGTCTTATCAAGGTCGTTTGCAAGGAGCTTTGGGTTTGCGGCAATCGTACTGTACGCGCTATGGAAGGTGGTTTGGATGAATACAAACGTGAAGTTTACAAAGAAATTGAAGCGGCGAATAGTTAAATTGAATTTTAGTGTAAAATTGTATTTTGTATTCATTTCATTATACTTGTAATTTATGCTCGTGCACTGGCGAAGTAAATACATACATTGATATTTTACAACTGCTTATAAATTATTAAAATGCATCTATATGAAAAAATAAAATAAAAAGCAGTAGTCGCTTTAAATTATCTCTTTTGTTTTTATTACTTTTGTATGTTTGATCTTTCGTGGTGTGCTGAAGTGATTGTCATTGTCTGTTTCCCCTGCTCGTTTTGGCAACGTATTACCGGTCATCGGAAAGTCGTTGGTTTTTGTTGAAAAATATTATGTAAAGTTGCTGAAGTGACGCTCCTAGGTCAGATAGAAATCTGAGCCGTCTGTCGTTGGAACATTTGATTTATTGACGTCAATTTATAAGGTGACTTCTTGAATCCTCGCGCTGATATTTTTGCTGCCGTCTTGCAGCTATGTGAGCGATCGAATCTATGTAGCCTTAAATAAAAATTTTCTGATTGCTTACATGCTAAAATGATTAATTCATTCATTACAATGTTATCCTTTCCACCGTTTTATTTATATTACCCCACCTAATAAGCGGTAACTTTGAGGTACCTTACACTATTTTTAATCAGTTAAATCAGCTGCTGAAATGCTAAGTGCAGTATCATATTATATATATATTCATATAATAATTGAAAATTCATTTTAACGCGAAAGTTGTTTTAGNTCATATTATATATGTATATATTCATATAATAATTGAAAATTCATTTTAACGCGAAAGTTGTTTTAGAGCACTCTACATTCGCTTCTTGAACAACATTCAAATATACAGTCAGTCAATAAAGTTTAGGTCCAGCGAATTTTTTACAATACCGGCAACTATTTTTTAGATATTTTACTTTTCGCAAATTTTTTATAAAAATATGATTAATTCTACAAACAAACCCCAACAATGAGAGTTCCAAAAACTTCGTCATACTTGCACTTTATTATACTAAAATTTAATTGGCAAAAAAACTGCATACTCAGCTTTTTTTTNGATAATTAATCCTACATTTTTTCATTATACTTTTTAACATTAAAAACGCTTATTCATGCTGCTGATATGATACTTGTGAATTGATAATTTTACAAAAAGAAAAATTAAACGAAACGCCGACTGCGTTTGTGGGGCTCCGCTGCGACAGCCGGTGTCGTGAC